CCCCCCCCCCCCCCCCCCGATGTATATAGCTAATTAAACCCAACACTGAATGATATCACCCAGCGGTCATTCCCTGCGGACCACGAGGCAGCTCAGACACCAATAACCGATCAAATGAAGTTCGCATCTCCTGTCTTTGATCAATAACCAGAACAACTGCTGCCATCGATGATCTCACACGGGCCCCTTCGTTCTAATTTGATGCTGACAGCGCTGAGGATGAGCCCCGCTGGGAGGTAATTATGTTCTTGTGCGGAGTCTCCGGTTCTGCATTCGGAGAATCAACAGAATCAAGAGCGGTTTACGGTCACAAAGCGGAATGCCAATATTCCGTCCTATGGCGGGATTTCCAGGAATAATTAATACTGCAGAAGCAAATCATTCTATTGATCCGCCCAGACATAAGGTGTCTTGGTGTAAGGTCACTCTGGGGATGGTTAAAGGGGAGTCCTGTTCCTCCACTCCAACACTCCAACGTCTGTGGGCTTCTTTGCCACCACTGACATCTGCTTTTGGGTTCACCATCCTCCGCCATCTTGATTGGCCGGTCCAGGATGACTTCAGTCCTACACATGGGCATGGCAGTAGATTCATCCCGGCACCCAAGAAATGCTGAGACCGTACACTCAGCTTCACATGCATGGCTTAGTGCACAATCTTCAGAAACTTGCTCGTCGGAATGTAAGACGCTTTTATTGCAGAAGACGCATACGGAGTCCCTTGTCCAGTTGAAGTCTACCTGTTGGCAAATTCCATGAAGTTGCACTTCAAGTGTATTTCTAGCCAAAACTTTTTTCCAGATTGGACAAAGCAGGATAAGGTTTTATATGTGCCTCACTGGGGGAACCCCTTTTCACTTCCTGTCCAGGAAGCAAATTGGGAAGTTAGAGGAAATCTCTCTATAGGGAGATGAAATCTCTTCTGAAACAGTTGTCACCAGAACAGGTGTCCCCATTGGAAGATTTCCCTTCATCTTCCATGGATGCCAACTGTCCCAGACGTGCCGGTAGAGGAGTAACGCCTCTTGGTAAAGTAGGCGTTATGGGAAGTTCCCTGCATATTCAGAGGTGGAATATGGATGGGACCAACTTGGAAGTAGACTTGATGGGCAGTCCCCTACATATTCAGAGGTGGAGTCTGGGCAGGACCAACCAGTAAAATAGACATGATGATCAGTCCCCTGCATATTCAGAGGTGGAATCTGGGCAGGACCAACCTGTAAAGTAGACGGGGTGGCCAGTCCCCTGCATATTCAGAGGTGGAATCTGGGCAGGACCAGCCAGTAAAGTAGACATGATGACCAGTCCCCTATATATTCAGAGGTGGAATCTGGGCAGGACCAACCAGTAAAGTAGACATGATGACCAGTCCCCTACCTATTCAGAAGTGGAATCTGGGCGGCACCAACCAGTAAAGTAGACATGATGACCAGTCCCCTGCATATGCAGAGGTGATATATTGGCAGCACTAACCAGTAAAGTAGTTGTGATGACCAGTCCCCAGCATATTCAGAGGTGGAATCTGGGCAGGACCAACCAGTAAAGTAGGTGTGCTGCTTACCCCCTTGAACATGGTGACCACTGTCAATCATTCCTTTCTTTAGAATTACCTATTTTACTATTTTGTTGTCTTGTACTTATTTATGTGAACAAAACAATTTTGTTGTAACAATTTTTCATTTATATATTTCAATATTAATAATCCCTTCCCCCAAAGTTTCATTGAAGGTTTATAACTTTAGGTTATCATTTTTGCAGCGCTTAGAGGGAATTTCTTTTCAATGCCGATGTTTTTGTTTTTTTTTGTCCTTCAGAACGGAACCCTGAAGATCATCGACAGAAAGAAGAATATCTTTAAGCTGGCGCAGGGCGAGTACATCGCTCCGGAGAAGATTGAGAACATCTATGTCAGAAGCGGGCCCGTGGCTCAGGTGTTCGTACACGGTGACAGTCTGCGGGTAAGGACACCATATACTGTGACAATATGGACGGTAATCCTCTTACAAAAAACGCTAATGACACAAGGGTGGGGGGAGGGGGAGGAGGGTATCCAATTAATGACAGCTTAGGACAAGATAGATACAATTAGAGACTGCTCTCTTATGAATAAGCCCCAGAGGAAGGTCACGTTGCTGGAACGAGGAGGTTACACTTTAACAGGCACCTGGGTTGTGTCATATAGGATAAATTACTAACATGAGTGTCCCTATTCATTGTGCAATAGATGTATGGGGGGGTCGGAGTCCTGTTATAATGACCTACAGAGGTGGCTCTCTAATTAGGCAAATTAGGCGGTCACCTAAGGCCTCGCACTCACAAGGGCCTATAAAACTTCGGTCAGCACCACCTTGTGGTCACACTGATAACTCCAAGCCAAATCAATGGTCCCTAGGACAAATATGGAATATCTCCCCGGATGGGGGTTGTAACCCTTCCACACTCCAAAAAAAACCTGAAAAGTTTTGACTTCACATACACTTTAAAGTACAAAATGTAACAATGTAACAAAAAGTTTATCAGTTATTATAAATTGTGAAAATGATTTTGGTGGAGGACCAGCAGTCAGAATGGAACGCTCGCTGCTCAGATTTAGTCTTTAATCAAGTTCTGTGTTTTTGCCTCAATAGTCCTGTCTGGTGGGGGTTGTGATTCCTGATCCGGAGGTCTTGCCAGACTTCGCGGCAAAGCTTGGCGCTCGTGGATCGTATGAGGATCTCTGTAAAAACCCGGTAAGTTCTGCAGAATTCCATGATCCCGGACTAAGCATTGCCTCACCTGCATACAGATCTAGGGGCTCTGGAAGATACAGGGGGACATAAGGGGATAAAATGGGGACAATAGGGGGACAAAGTGAATCAAATACAAGGCGCAACAGAGAGATAACAAGGAATCTAACATGGGAACAATGGGGGGAGAAAGGGAGTCACACAGGGAGACAAAAGGAAACAAACAGAAGGACAAAGGGAATCATACAGGGGGACAAAGGGAATCATACAGGGGGACAAAGGGAATCATACAGCGGGACAAAGGGAATCATACAGGGGGACAAAGGGAATCATACAGGGAGAGAAAGGGAATCAAACAGGGAGACAAAGGGAATCATACAGGGGGACAAAGGGAATCATACAGGGAGAGAAAGGGAATCAAACAGGGCGACAAAGGGAATCATACAGGGGGACAAAGGGAATCATACAGGGAGAGAAAGGGAATCAAACAGGGAGACAAAGGGAATCAAAAAGGGGAATAATAGGGGGACAAATAATCAAATACAAGGGGCAACAGGGAGATAAAACAAAAGAATAAAACAGGGGAACAATAGGGGGATAAAGGGAATCATACAGGGGGATAAAGGGAATCATACAGGGGGATAAAGGGAATCATACAGGGGGATAAAGGGAATCATACAGGGGGACAAAGGGAATCAAACAGGGAGACAAAGGGAATCATACAGGGGGACAAAGGGAATCAAACAGAGGAACAAAGGGAATCAAAGAGGGAACAACAGGGGGTCAAAGGGAATCACATAGGGAGGCAAAGGGAATCATATAGGGAGGCAAAGGGAATCAAACAGGGGACCAAAGGGAATCTACAGGGGAACAACAGTGGGTCAAAGGAAATCATACAGGGAGACAAAGGGAATCAAACATGGGAATTATAGGGGGACAAATAAACAAATACAAGGGGCAACAGGGAAATAAAAAAAAAGAATAAAACAAGGGAACAATAGGGAGACAAAAGGAATCAAACAGAAGGGCAACAGGAGGACAAAAAGGAATCAAACTGAGGAACAATAGGGGGACAAACAGGATAAAACAGGGAAAAAAAGGGGAACAATCTAAGTTCTTATATGCTAATGTTCGGTTCTGTATATAATAAACACTTTCGCTGGGTGGAATGATCTTGCAGGAAGATGTCATTGGAACAAATTGTTGTTCACTGGATCCTCGGAATATCTTGTTGTGGGGACAGTTGTTCTTCTTGGTCTACAATGAGTTGTTTGGGGGTCCTTGTCAAGCTGATGAGGTGTTCAGAGATAACAGAAATGTTTGTATCAATGATGTGCTGCTTCTGCAGATTCTCCAAGAATGATTTATTATGTAATGTAATGTAAATGTTTGGGACGTTCTACATGACAATTGTCCACCATTTAAGCTTAATTATGAAGAGATCGGATTCTTGGTGCACCCGCCATGTCTGCGGATCTCCACGCAGGTTATTCCCTCTACTCTCTCATTTTAACTTTGTAACTCTTCTCTTCTGAACACACTTTTGAAACCTTCCCTGTTAGCAGAGGTTGTAGCTTTTCTTATCCCAACTCAACTGGAAAATAATGGGATCTAAAGCAATGGGAAAGATTCTCTGTGTGAGATTTTTTGGTCAGAATATCAAAAGACCAATTACATAGAAGAGCTTAAATGAAAACTGTGCGGACACTTTAAACTGAACCTGTGTTTTGTTGCTTCGGGATCATATGTAATAGGTTTGCTCCATCCCTGGCATTGTGAGGAACATGCCTTACCTTCCATGGAGTCCCTCACACCCCATTACTAAGCCAGAGCCCCCCCCCTTCCCTGGATGTGGGGGAACATGTGACGAGACTCTCAATTCTTTCTACCTCAGAAAGTCTTGCCTTGTCCTTAGTCTTGCCTTGTCCTTAGTCTTGTCTTGTCCTTAGTCTTGTCCTGTTCTTAGTCTTGCCTTGTCCTTAGCCTTGTCTTGTCCTTAGTCTTGTCTTGTCCTTAGTCTTGTCTTGTCCTTAGTCTTGTCTTGTCCTTAGTCTTGTCTTGTCCTTAGTCTTGTCTTGTCCTTAGTCTTGTCTTGTCCTTAGTCTTGTCTTGTCCTTAGTCTTGTCTTGTCCTTAGTCTTGTCTTGTCCTTAGTCTTGTCTTGTCCTTAGTCTTGTCTTGTCCTTAGTCTTGTCTTGTCCTTAGTCTTGTCTTGTCCTTAGTCTTGTCTTGTCCTTAGTCTTGTCTTGTCCTTAGTCTTGTCTTGTCCTTAGTCTTGTCTTGTCCTTAGTCTTGTCTTGTCCTTAGTCTTGTCTTGTCCTTAGTCTTGTCTTGTCCTTAGTCTTGTCTTGTCCTTAGTCTTGTCTTGTCCTTAGTCTTGTCTTGTCCTTAGTCTTGTCTTGTCCTTAGTCTTGTCTTGTCCTTAGTCTTGTCTTGTCCTTAGTCTTGTCTTGTCCTTAGTCTTGTCTTGTCCTTAGTCTTGTCTTGTCCTTAGTCTTGTCTTGTCCTTAGTCTTGTCTTGTCCTTAGTCTTGTCTTGTCCTTAGTCTTGTCTTGTCCTTAGTCTTGTCTTGTCCTTAGTCTTGTCTTGTCCTTAGTCTTGTCTTGTTCTTAGTCTTGCCTTGTCCTTAGTCTTGTCTTGTCCTTAGTCTTGTCTTGTCCTTAGTCATGTCTTGTCCTTAGTCATGTCTTGTCCTTAGTCTTGTCCTTAGTCTTGTCTTGTCCTTAGTCTTGTCTTGTCCTTAGTCTTGCCTTGTCCTTAGTCTTGCCTTGTCCTTAGTCTTGTCTTGTCCTTAGTCTTGTCTTGTTCTTAGTCTTGCCTTGTCCTTAGTCTTGTCTTGTCCTTAGTCTTGTCTTGTCCTTAGTCTTGTCTTGTTCTTAGTCTTGTCTTGTCCTTAGTCTTGTCTTGTCCTTAGTCTTGTCCTTAGTCATGTCTTGTCCTTAGTCTTCTCTTGTCCTTAGTCTTGTCTTGTCCTTTGTCTTCTCTTGTCCTTAGTCTTGTCTTGTCCTTTGTCTTGTCTTGTCCTTAGTCTTGTCTTGTCCTTATTCTTGTCTTGTCCTTAGTCTTCTCTTGTCCTTAGTCTTCTCTTGTCCTTAGTCTTGTCTGGTTTGGCATCGACCCAAATTGTGAGAGAGAACCCTATAATAGCCCCATTTTTTACACTAATGATATTGATATTTCCTTCATCAGGCTGTGAAGAAAGCTATACTGGAGGACCTGGTGAAGATAGGAAAACAGGGCGCACTGAAGTCTTTTGAGCAGGTATGGAACACTCGGAATAACCGCCAGAAAGTATTTGGGGTCTCTGATTAGTCTGGTAAAAGGGAGAAAAGAACAACAGGAAAGGAAAAAAAAATGGATGAATTAAAAGAAAGGAGGGGAGAAAGCAAGAGGAGGGAACATAAGGAATTAAATGAAGGAAGGAAAAGGAAAGGAGGAGAAGGAAGGAAGAAAGGTGCAGCCAGCAGTGAAATCAGTGGCCTTGGCAACCAAGGAAAGCAGTGACATCAATCCCTCGGTCATGTGATTGTGTTTGAACCCAGCAATTGGCTGTCAGTGCTACTAGCAATCCCCGTCTCAGGATCAGGCCTAGGGACTCCAACCAGTGGTTCTAGCAAGACCCTGTCTCAGTATCTACAGAGCAGGGAGGGATTTGCAATTGATCTGTGTGAAGTGTATAGATGGCCTAGAAGGGACACAATCTGTGCCATGTATATAGATGACATAGAAGGGATACAATCTGTGCCATGTATATAGATGATACAGAAGGGATACAATCTGTGCCATGTATATAGATGACCTGGAAGGGATACAATCTGTGTGATGTATATAGATGATATAGAAGGGACACAATCTGTGCCATGTATATAGATGACATAGAAGGGATACAATCTGTGCCATGTATATAGATGACATAGAAGGGATACAATCTGTGCCATGTATATAGATGATACAGAAGGGATACAATCAGTGCCATGTATATAGATGACATAGAAGGGATACAATCTGTGCCATGTATATAGATGACATAGAAGGGATACAATCTGTGCCATGTATATAGATGATACAGGAGGGATTCAATCTGTGCCATGTATATAGATGACATAGAAGGGATACAATCTGTGCCATGTATATAGATGATACAGAAGGGATACAGTCTGTGCCATGTATATAGATGATACAGAAGGGATACAATCTGTGCCATGTATATAGATGATATAGAAGGGATACAATCTGTGCCATGTATATAGATGATATAGAAGGGATACAATCTGTGTGATGTATATAGATGACATAGAAGAGATTATTTCGTCTCTTTTACATACAATGAAACACGCGTGTGTATGTGTACAGATCTGTGACCCGTGCTCTGCTCTTTCAGGTGAAGGATATCTACGTGCATGAAGAGATGCTGAGCATTGAGAACGGTCTGCTGACGCCAACCCTGAAGGCCAAGAGAGCGGAGGTAGCAAAATATTTCAGACGTCAGATCGACGAGCTGTACTCCAAGATCCAGGAATGACATGGACTGACCCAACACAACGCATGCACTGAGACTTGGCACGACCGCCGCCATGACGGAGGTCCCCCAGAATTGTTTTTCAGCTTGGAGCAAGCATTGGGGCATCAGATATGGGGACTGTATGAAAGACTGTCGGTGACTTTACAGGGAATGTAGCGTGTATCTATGTACACGCTGTACAGTAATTCTGTGATGTATGTAGAATCATTTCATTATTTTATAAGGAATAAAAGGCTTCCTCTGCGTCCCGGGATGTCTATCCTCATGCGTCCTTTCAGCTGGACACACAGAACGGTCTTTCCTCACAGTCCAGTTGGTCGGATTTGGGCTGTAAGTCTTCATTCACACGTTTGTTTTATTTAATCGCAGGAGAAATGTATCAGTGAAGTACGCAAGGAATTCATACACCTCGGAGCAATGTCTACTGCACTTAAACGTACCTGCGTTCACATGCATTCACATGCATTCACAGCACCCATCTGCCCCTAGACACACAGACTTCTATTTCTTTTACTGAATGCAAGTCAATACGCTGAATGCATTTTACCAATTCAAATAATGACATGCGTTTAGAAATGTCCATGAGCGTGTGAGTGAGGCCTTAGACCAGGGGGTGGGCAAGTCCAACCCTCCAGCGGTGGCAGACCTAAAAGTCCCATGAAGCATTGCAAAACTCTGGCAGCCACAGCGGTCAGAGGTACAATGGGATTTGTAGTCCCTATACATCTATCTACCCATCCATCCCTACCTATCTACCCATCCTTATTCATCTATCTACTCATCCATCCCTCTATGTCTATCTACCCATACATCTATCCCTCTATGTCTGACTACCCATCCATATCTATCCACCCATGCATCCATAACCATCTACTCATCCATCCCTCTACCGATCTATCCACACATCCATCCCTATCTATCTACTCATCCATCCCTCTATATCTGTCTACCCATTCATGCACCAACCACCCATCTATATCTGCTCATCTATCCCTCTACCGATACATCCATATCCATCTGTCTACCCATCAATCCCTCCATCATTGTCTATCCACTCACATCTGTCCATCATATACCCATCTATCCAAGGTAAATGTGGAAACCGAGTAATTAATTATAAATGTCGGGTTCTAGAATCATCTACCCAACATGACTCTAAGAGGAGGATTTATAAAGCTTTTTATAAATTATGAAGCTAAAGTTCCTGCCCCCTAGATGGAGCTGAAGAGCATAGGGATTTCCAGCGTTCCTCAGGTCCATTTAGTGGGGGGAATGTTGGAATACCGGTAATCGCCCAGCCAGATGACTGCCATTCATCCAACATCCCCACCACTAGATGGACCCGAGAAACACTGGAAATCCCTACGCTCTTCGTCTTCATCTAGTGGCGGGAACGTTGTGTGGATGGTAATCGTCCACCGTATGGCTGGGTGTAAGCTCTGTAAATCAAACCCTTAGACATTGTGAGGGGAAACCGCAGTTATCAGCGGCGACCAACATTGAAGGATCATACTTGGGATGATGGCAATGGATACTTGGGTCACTCAGTACATATGGGGCACGTGCCCTGGGTGCCAGGGTCTATCGATGCCGCTGGTGTATTGCAGTGTTTTAGATGGGGGAGGGGCAGTGAATAAGCGGAGCTTGCATTTTGCTTTGACCTGGTCATTGCTTCCTCCAAAGAAATGACAACTCAATAAAACTTCTGTCATTTTATTACCAACAGACATACTTTACATTTGTAAAAAGATATTTCCCATGAAACTGGACCAAAGTGAGGGCTACGGAGCAAAAAACAACAGGCAGGTACAATCATAAGGAGGACACAACAGTACAACTCAGTACAGGGATTTTTGGTATAAAAAGGGAAACCAAATGCCATCAATGACTACAAATTATACTACGGGGAAGGGGGTGTGCGTCTATTTGCTGTGGGATGATTGATGGGAGGTTTGTTGGTTGAATGTCTTGTGATCTCACTTAAAGGGCCAGTCCATCCAAAACTGATCGGTTATGAGCAGATTCTGTTGGTTTGGATCACCCCCAACCCACCGCATGCGTTACAATTGGATGGTACGTATTAGCAGGATAATTGTATCCTGTCGAAGTACCATTAAAAAAAGAAAGAGGCATTAGTTGGGTAGGGAGGCCAGAGGTCCAGCCGAATAAGAGAGGCTCTTTACAATAACTCGCTCCAGCTCGGGAACACACTTTGCACAGCAGCCTGAAGGTGGCAACGTTCCTCCGTTATAATATTGTAATTGTCAAATACAATTGTAGCATTTAAAAAAAAAAATAACATTCATTAAAAAATAGCTAAAAATGTAAAATTTGATCAGGGCAATTAGACCTCAAAGACCTCTGGTCATGAAAGGGTTAAAGCACCCTACAGTTCCAGTTTTTAGATGCAAAACACAGCTTTTAGCAGAAATGCGGGCTGCTAACAGATATACACTATATTGCCAAAAGTATTGGGACGCCCCTCCAATCATTGGGTTCAGGTGTTCCGTGACATTTCCCGGCTACTAAATGTTCCGCGGTCACCTGTTACTGGGATTATAACAAAGTGGAAGCAACCGGGAACAACAGCAACTCAGCCAGGAAGTGGTCGGCCACGTCACATGACAGAGCGGGGTCAGCGCATGCTGAAGCGCACAGAAGTCGCCAACTGTCTGCAGAGTCAATAGCTACAGACCTCCAAACTCCATGCGGCCGTCAGATTGGCGCAACAACAGTGCGTAGAGAGCTTCATGGAATGGGTTTCCATGGCCGAGCAGCTGCATCCAAGCCGCACATCACCGAGTGCAATGCAAAGCGTGGGATGCCGTGGTGTAAAGCCCCTTCCTGTTCCAACATGACTGCGCACCAGTGCACAAAGCACGGTCCATAAAGACATGGATGGGGGAGTTTGAGGCTGAGGAACTTGACTGGCCGCACAGAGTCCTGACCTCAAACACATAGAACACCTTTGGGATGAATTAGAGCGGAGACTGCGAGCCCCTCCCCCAACATCAGTACCTGACCTCACAAATGGCCCAACATTCCCATAGACACACCCCTAAACCTTGTGGACGCCTCCCCAGAAGAGTTGAAGCGGTTATAGCGGCAAAGGGCGGAGTCAACCCAATACTGAACCCTACGGACTAAGACTGGGATGCTATTAAAGTTCATGTGCCTGTAAAGGCGTCCCAATACTTTTGGCAATATAGTGTATATTTATTTGGCGGTGATTCAAGTAGAAGATTCCCACCCAAAACTGCTCAATATTGGTTGTACAGACCCCTTCGTGTCATGTGAAATATTCTCCACCCTTTAGATGGTCTGTTTATACCTCCGCAGTGACCAACACCCTCTGCTACATCATTTTTACTCAATGAGTATAAGGCATGGGTACAAAAGAGAGCGCCACAGTCCCTGCGTATAAAATGGGTCAATGGACATCGACCTGCTGAGATGACAAGAATGAAAGAGACAAAATCCAGACCGTCGGAGTAACAGCGCAGGTTCACAATAAGGGAGACCAAGGCTGGTCCTACGTGGTCCAAATCGCGCACCACCTGTGGCCACGGGGCCTGTGTAGAAGTCAGCGTAGCCGATTGCCAAAAAACACAATTTCAGTCATGGAAAAATCTTAGGAGGGTATCGGCTCTGCTGCTGGAGAAGGTGCTGAATGTTCTATGTAGTGGTAGTTGTCTAGGCCGGTCTTAATAACCATGTATGACCAGCCTAGGAAAGGCATGGTGGACAAGCATGCCCCGATCAGGAAGCCTTTCTCCACTCCGTCTGTCCTCACATTTGTGTCGTACTCTGTGGCAAAATGTTCTGCCCCAGACATCAGAGAAGCATTAGGAGAAGCCTTGCGTTGACCGTTTAAAGAGACAGTGTTGTTAGAATACACGTATCGCAATGATCGAGTCCTAAAATATATTTAATATACTTAAAATGTTCAGGAATCAACACTTCCAGGGGGTATGTTGGATGCCAACAATTCCCACTGCTAAACCCTTCCCACCCCCGTGACTAGTGTGTCCCTTGATAGCTGTAGTGATATAGCGGCCGGCAGGTAGAGCCACAGTGTGCAGGAGAGACGTGCAGGGATCTGACACACCAGGAAGTGTCAGGTGCTGAAGATTCCATTCAATGGAGGCAGTCATGATAAGTATAGTTTAGATATCACCAATAGGATACGCACCTTTGATGTGTAGGTTAGCACTGGACAGTCTACTAAGGTGCTACCAGGTATCTAGCACCCATTTTTGTTGGGTCCAAAGGGAGGATGCCTGTTGGGTCTGCTAAATGGACCCAAAAAGGCATCTCCTCCTCTAGAGGAAATCAGTGAGGGTACTGGTCCCTAGAGGAAATCAGTGAGGGTACTGGTCCCTAGAGGAAATCAGTGAGGGTACTGGTCCCTAGAGGAAATCAGTGAGGGTACTGGTCCCTAGAGGAAATCGGTGAGGGTACTGGTCCCTAGAGGAAATCAGTGAGGGTACTGGTCCCTAGAGGAAATCAGTGAGGGTACTGGTCCCTAGAGGAAATCAGTGAGGGTACTGGTCCCTAGAGGAAATCAGTGAGGGTACTGGTCCCTAGAGGAAATCAGTGAGGGTACTGGTCCCTAGAGGAAATCAGTGAGGGTACTGGTCCCTAGAGGAAATCAGTGAGGGTACTGGTCCCTAGAGGAAATCAGTGAGGGTACTGGTCCCTAGAGGAAATCAGTGAGGGTACTGGTCCCTAGAGGAAATCAGTGAGGGTACTGGTCCCTAGAGGAAATCAGTGAGGGTACTGGTCCCTAGAGGAAATCAGTGAGGGTACTGGTCCCTAGAGGAAATCAGTGAGGGTACTGGTCCCTAGAGGAAATCAGTGAGGGTACTGGTCCCTAGAGGAAATCAGTGAGGGTACTGGTCCCTAGAGGAAATCAGTGAGGGTACTGGTCCCTAGAGGAAATCAGTGAGGGTACTGGTCCCTAGAGGAAATCAGTGAGGGTACTGGTCCCTAGAGGAAATCAGTGAGGGTACTGGTCCCTAGAGGAAATCAGTGAGGGT